ACGTATAGTCTAGAAGATTATAGAGCGTATAGTTAATATAGTTCTAGAATAAGGCTAGCGTATTATAGAGACTAAATAGTATAACTAGTAATTTAAAGAGTCTAAATTAGGTAATAAAGGCTATTTTCTATTTATAGCCTTCTATAATTCTTAGCTTATTAAACGTAGTAATAATATTAAGCTTAGTATACACCTTAGTATTATATAGAGTATTAAGCGTTTCTCTAATTAATAGAAGTAGGTATTAGTTCTTTATAGTTACGTTATTAAGGCCTTAATAGTCTTAATAGATGCGTACTTCTCTACCTAGTTTTACTACTAGAAGTAGAGGTATAGTATAATATAAATAGAATTTACGTATAAAGCTCTTATCTAGGTTTTTATCTAGCTATTTTCTAATAACTTTTAATTTCTTACTAGAGAAGAGCCTATTCTTCTAATATAGTAGCTTCTTTTCTAGAATAATATTAATCTTATAGTTCTAAGCTCTTATTAGTAGTAGCTTATTAGCTTTCTAGAGAAAGAATTCTACTAGCTTATTCTATAGCTATTCTAGTAGTCTCTTTCTAAGTTCTAACTTAGAAAGAGGCTTCTTATCTTCTAGAAATTTATTAATATCTATTTACTTAAGACTATAGAGGTAAATAGCCTATTAGTAATTATCTAAGAAATTATAGAATTAGCTAGAGAATTTACTATATAATTAATTACTAATATATTCTAATAGAATATTAAAATACTTAGCTTTAGTAAGACTAGAAAGTATATTACCTTTCTCTTACTTACTTTCTTAGGCTACCTTGTTTAGGTTAGAAGTAAAAGGATGTGTTACGAGCTGTCCTTCGACTTCTCCGAAGGTTCCTCTAAGCTTGGCCGCAAACCCGGACCAACTTTCGAATATCTCGTCCGTGGATTGTCGGGTCCGTTTGGTGTTGCCCTTGTTCTCGAGCCAGTCGGACATATATGGTTCGGCCCACGCTAGGGCCTCTTTATCCTCGTCCTGGGGAAATGCTGTGGCGTTGTATCGTAGGTAGAGCTCCATGGCCGCTAGGAATGCGTTGAGGTGTTCGCGTTTCCCATCGAACCGTCGTGGTGTCGATATCTTGGCCTGGGCCTGTCGTTTGGCCGCTGCTAGCTCTTCTGCCTGCTGTGCGCATACTCCCTGGATGGTAGCCACCAGTTGCTGGAGTTCGACGATCTTCTGGTCTGTGGTCATGGTCCTGGGTGCTGGGGTTCCGGCTGACGACATGGTTGTTCCACCCTTTGACGTTGGGTAGTTATTTTGTTACGAGCTGTCCTCTTGGCTTAGACCGGGGCTTACGTTCGTAAGGGGAGGCAAGGGGTGTGCGTCGGACAGGGATTATTTAGTGACAAAGGGGTGGAGGCAATGAGACTGTAAATCGCAGGTTACAGTAGCAATTTGTTACTGAATAATCCCTGTCCGACGCACACCCCTTGCCTCCCCTTACGAACGTAAGCCCCGGTCTAAGCCAAGAGGACAGCTCGTAACAGGATGCTTCGAGAGGCTCTATATATACAGGGTGCCTAGTGCCAAGGCGCTAGGCGAGGTCATGTGACTTGGGCGGAGCCGAGTTGGGCCGCAGCGCCGAGTCGGACCGTCACAATAGCTCTAGATCTATCCCGCCGCCGTACATTGTCTTCTGAGTTCTTCGTTGAACTATGTCCTCATACACACCCGATTAGATCGATGACGTTAACTTAGCATACCATTACAACAAGATTACCACAGACTCACGTGGAGTATACTACCAGCTCAAAACAGGAGCACCAGGCTTTCCAGCTAGCTTCTGGGCTTCGCAACGGTAGGTAAATTCCTTTATCGTGCTCAGGCTGCGTGCTAACCCTATCTTTAAGCAGTTCGCAGCAAGCCCCATCCTTATCGCAGCAGGTGCATCAACCTACCGCCTCCACAATCTCCAACTACCGACAGAAAGTTGTCTCAACCTTTCGAGTCGTCGCGCATAGTATGGGACCTCTCATGCATGGCGGTGCTGTTAGTCAAAATCACTGGACGATCTACCTAATTGTGCCGGGCGGTTCTGTACAACTTAACATGAAGACGAGCACTGATCCGAACACTCGTCGTGGAATCTTCGAAGTTCGCGAACGTGCCTACGAAAAATCGAATACGGCAGTCAGGTGGTTCGACCTTCCAGCTTCGAGTGGCCTTCTCGTGGACTCTGTTGAGCGCGAAATTCAATCTCAACGTTGGGATCAGTATGATATGACTGAGGGTGGGGTCGGATGTCGATGGTGGATGTAAGCATTTACGATCTTGTATTTGTCTGTGTGTACTGATGGAGTGTTTCCTAGCCTGACCGTTATGCGCGGATTCGCGAACAAAAATTTCGTTGATGGAGAAAAAGTCGAAAGCGAACTTGTGCCAGCCCTCAGCTACAACTACTCGAAGGACATTGAACCGATCTGGTTGGAAATAAAGCAAGGAACATTTTGTTGAGCGCTGGGGCAGAGCTTACTCTGCCGTCATATGCAGATCTATAACGCTGAGAAGGGAGGTAGTGCTGGCGGGAGAGGGGTCTCAGAATGCGGCAGATTACTCGAATAGGCATTGTTTTCGAACCTTTTTTACTTTGTAAGCCTTGACATTAAATATCTCTTATATGTACGTACGAGAATCTATTGTTCACGACGGCGGGAATGCCCAGATATTGTAGAACTTGCTTGTCGTTATCGTTAGGTTTCTGAGAGAGATGCAGAAGCTGCTTGAACCAGACACTGTCTGTGGAAAGTAGGTCCTGGAAAGTGTGGATCTCAAAGATATCAGGAAAGAATCCGGCAAAAGCCCAGTCCACGAAACAGACGGAGGAGTTTGGGAGTAACAAGATGTTTCGTCTGACAAGGTCCATATGATGCATACTAAGTTGCTGGTGCCGTGCCAGGGATATACGTGGTTGCTTGACGACGTCAAGCCTCTTGTTCATCCACTCTTCCATGTCTTTGATAGATTCCCAACTTTGCCCGGTTCCATCGTCTGACCACAGGTAGCCGTATGCGGATCCGCCGCCGACCGGTCCAGGCCCTTGATCAGGGGGGATGGGAATCATAGCGAGGTGTTGAATCGCCTCCATCGTGCGCTCAGCGAGATGTGGTTTCTCGACCACATTCAGCGTATCCAAGTTGATTCCAAGCACATACTCCATAACAATGAAGCCCATGTCAAATCCAAATAGAGTGGCTCTGAAGAAGCGAAACACTTGTGGAATATACAAGACTGTACTGTCCACATGGCGATGCGCGTAGCTTTGGTTCTGAGCTTCTTGTTTTCGAACACCAAGTCCGAATTTCACAGCCACGTTGTCTGAAATTTTGACCAGTTGGTTTCCGTGCGGGGATCCGGCGAAAGGGGCGGTAACCGTGCATAACTCCACGATCTCATGGTCGGGTAAAAGCGCTTCATGAGAAGTTGTCATTGTATTGCGTGAAGCACCAGCCTTGGAAACAGGATTTGCTGGGAAATTCACATGTGCGGAGGGAGGACGGCGCGGGTTGGAGAACGTGGTGGACAGCGCGGGGAGGGTAGGCGGCGTTTTGGCGGCAGGCTCGTTAGATGCGTCGGTCGGCGGCGGCAGAGGTCGCTGTCTGTAGAAGGATCCTTCTCTTGCGGCGCGAGCAGTGGGAGGAGAGCTGTAACGGACTTGGCGTACAATCCACTAACCTCTTCAAGAATAGTCTGTTGATGAGTCACCATGTGTTCGAGCTCCAGCAGCGGCCGGGCGGGGTCACCCTTGCAACTGCCCTGCCGACAGGACATCACGTGTATTCATGACTTCCAAGTGTTGAAGTAGGAAATGGAGAAATTCAGTGTATTGAGTAATTGGGTGGTGAATGTATTTTATGGAGTATATGGAGCTCCGAGAATCAAAGAAATCTCTGTGGCGCTAGTGCCCGATTGGGAAGCTTGGCGATTGCACTCCACCACGCCCGGGCGGTCCAGCCGTTTGATTTCCTAGAGCAAACCCAACGTTCACAACGAGGACACGCCTGCCATCACAACGAGCCCCATAATACCTAGGTACCCGTACCCAGCCCACCGTCCACCGTCCACCGTCCACCGTCCACCGTCCACCGTCCACCGTCCACCGTCCACCGTCCACCGTCCACCGTCCACCGTCTGTCGTCCATCGCGCCGTACAGCCCAGGACGCGCTACAATCCCATCATGCGGCCGACGTTTCCAACCAGCTCCGCCACCCAGAAGATCGGACGAACACCCAGATAGACCCCCATCCCCATCCCCATCGGCGGCGCGCCATGAACTGCTGCCGGTGCCCCGCCTGCGATGCCTGCAGCCGCCTGCCGGCCCTGGATCCATTGGCCGATATGGTTCCGCGGCTGGTGGTGCGAGTGGTGGTCCTCAGGACTGAGCTTGGGCATCTTGAGCACCTTGGACACCTTGTTGCGCGCCATCTCGATGCGAAGAAGCGGAGACGGCGTGAAGAAGCGGAGACGGCGTGGAGAAGCGGAGACGGCGTGGGGATGTGAAGACGGCGCCGAAGTGTCAAGACAGCGTGGGCGACGCGGATCGAGTTGGATTGTGGTGCTATTGACGGCGCGATGGGTATACAAGGCGAGATTTTGTCGGCGAGGCATGTTTTTCGAGCAGGAAAATGGGAGCAGTCTGACAAGGCGAACCTCCCTAGCTCCTGTCTCGCGGATTCTGCGTTATGCCAGTTTGGCATTGATCCAGACCGACGAGCCGTGCGGAGGCAGCCGATGCAAAACGTTGTTTGGATGGTGAGTCTGTGTAAGCACGACCTGTCTCGTTTCCTGTCTCATTTCCTCTCAGCTGGGCGGTCGCCGGTGCAGCACCTTGAGGCTTACGCCATGCAGACATCCGCACTACCGCCTGCTGCTGTGCTCCAAGCAGCAGCAACCACCGCCGGGCCACCTCCACGCCAGCCTCATCACCACCAGCAGTTACATGGCTGGGACTACAGAATCGGGCCGTCGATCAGAGCATATAGAGCCATGCTCATGGCCGTCCTCCGATCCAGCATCGAAGCAGTCTTAATTCTCCACACTGGTGGACATTCAATCCTGACCTCACCGCCATTCATCTCCACCGCCGTCGGACCGCCGGGCTGCTCGCCCCCCGCCCCCGCCACCTGCCAAAGCAATGGCGAAAGCCACGATGAACAAATGCCTCGGGACGACCAAGCAGCACAAGCAGTGCCAGAACCCAGCACGCCACCCTACGGTCAACGGCAATCCTGCCCACATGAACCGCTGCGCCCTCCACAGGGACCAAGAAGTCGACTTCGCCGAGCCAGGCGAGAAGATGGCAGGCACCGGCGAGCGCTACTCTCCCGCCCGCTCCCGCTCGCCTAGCCGACGTGTTTCCTTTGCCGACGAAGTCTATGGCGGTGACACCTCTTCTTCGGACTCTGACGCGGATTCCGGCGTCTTCATCGAGCACCCACGTAGCCCCCGCTCCACCGGCGTTTCACGCTCTCCAAGCCCATCACTGAAACCCCCCTCCGGTGACCTCTGGGGGGCGTCTGCCGCCCACCTCACGCGCCGCCGCCTGGCCCGTAACATTATCCTAGGCGAAGAAATCACCGCGTCACAGTGCGACAAGATTGCCGATATGGAGCGCGTTCAGAAGAAGATTCGCAAAGGCACCAAGCTCGACCTACCAGCCATCATCTCGCAGCTCATCAGTCGCCAATCCGTCGCTGACGCCATGGGCGCGCGCTTCGCCTACCAACACTGCGTCGCGCTCGCTCGCATCGAGGAGCTCGAGCGCGAGAACCATGTGCAGCGCCAGCAAATTGCGTTTCTGGCGAAGCAGGTGGAGAAGCTGCTTGGGCCTAAGCATGGGATGAGGTTTCAAGGAGAAGATAGCGGGCATCACGGTCCATGAGGGCCCGGAGTCGCTCTCGGGCGCTTCACTACTGCTCCGGAAGAACTTCTTGCCTAGTTTCGATGATTGATCTGGGCACTTGGGCCGTGCTAAGCTTGCGGGAAACCTCCACAGGCGCTTCCGGTGTGGGAGTAATTCAGGCTGGTGAGGCAGCAATGTGGTCCGCATAGGCCGTCCACTCTTTTTGGTATGTGGATGGCATCGTGACTTCCCGTTCAACCCCCCTTCAACCCCCATACACACCATTCCTCGGTTCACTGTTTTCGTAGACCACTTCCCAGATTTCCCCTTCCTATTATCGCCAGCACCATCCCCGTCCCCACTCCCTTTTCCTTATCTCCTTCTGTTACCCCTCCCCATCTGTTGTATCGTTACCACCTCGCCATAGCTCACTGAGTCGCTCCTTCCAATAACGGATAATGCCCACCGTCTGCACTGCTTTCGCGTGATTCTCCTTGAGTGTCTCATGTCTCATTGCAGCTCTCCCACCCCATCCACTCCCACACTCTTCTTTCCCGTCTCCAATCCTCCATGTATGTCATGACTGAGATTTTCGTCCGTCGCTCGCCCGCCAACCGATTCGTACGTCGCACGTTCCCGGGAAACAGCCACAAGGACCCTTTGTCGAACCGGGCATGACGTGGGCGACTCGCCGAAACATTCTGCGGGAACATGAACCTGAAAGCGCCTCTGCACGTGCATGTATATGCGCGATGTTTTAAGATGACTCGCAAGCTAGGAATGGGAGTCAAGCAGGGTATAATTGCGTGTCTTGCTGCTCTTCCTTTCCTTCTCGCTCATCCAGCTGGCCTAGGTTGTTTTGCTAATATCGCCACTTCGGCTTCCTACATTCATCCATTCATTTCCGCTTTTCCTCTCACTCTCTAGCCGGCCTGATCCGTTTTTCTCACGTCGTATCGCACTCCGATCAAGAGGCCGGTTCCAGTGTTCGATCTGCCCTTTCCTCTCGCTTTCACACCGGCCTCACACCATGCCTGCGTACGTACCCGCCTCCCATAGCTGACCTCCATCCCTTCTCCCAATCCCGCCCGGTCGACCAGACGATCTTGATTGACACGCACATCCACATCCCGAGTACCCCAGCGCTAACTCCTCGCTAGAATCCCCACCGGTGGAATTCAGCCTTCCTCACGCACAGATTCCGCATCCGATCGCCCTCCGCACTCGCCCGAGTTCAAAGAGGAGCCAAAGTATATACCGAGGGGCGACGAGCTACGCGAAAAACCGAGTCGGCATTCCACGCGTCGAGAACCGGCAGCCCCGCCACCAGCACAGCCATCCGATCCCTCTCCGCGCTCGCGCCAGCGCAAAGAAGGGCCAAATCCCGTGCCAAGAGCGAAGTCAATCCGGAATTCAGCACGTCAAGAACCCGCAGCCCTTCCCCCGGCGCAGCCATCTGGCGCTCCGCCCTCGTCCCCGTTCGAAGAAGGTCCAAAGGCGGTGCCAAAGGGAAATTCGGGTCCAGATTTGTTACCGTCGCGGGACCCACAGCATCCACCTCAGGAATCGGCGGCTCCTTTCCCCACGCAGGCTCAGCACAGCTCGACATCGGTTGATGCAGAGGCCTCGATCCCGGATCCTTCCTCACTGACTTAAGACCGGCTGTCGGCAGGCGAGAAACCAGCATCTACGCCGCGAAGGAATGATGGACCTTGTGCGAGACATGTGCCCACGGGCGCTGATCGCGCTGATGGCGTGTCTTCCGGCTCTTCCTTGCCATCTCAAGAGCTGCGATCGGCAAGCGAGGAACTGGAGCCTCCGCTGCCGCGAAGGAATAAGCGAAGGCATGATGGATCGAGCTCGAATACTGTTCCCACGGGGGCAGATCTCTCCGGTGGTATATCTTCGTGTCCTTCACCACTCCAAGACCGGCCATCGACAAGCGAGAAGCCAGCGTCTTCATCGCCGACCCGTCTGTATTTCTGCCCGCTGTGCGAAAATGGAGCGAACCTCGACCCCGATCGGCCGTATTCCCTAACGCAGCGCAAAGACGGACCAAAATACATACCCACTGGAAACGACAAAGTCTCCGCATCCCAAGGCTCGCCCCCGGTCTCGAATGTGCATGCGTCTGCGTCGTCGACTCGTCTGTATTCCTGCCCGCTGTGTGAAGATGGAGCGAAGCTCATTCGGGCCCCAGCACCGCGCAAACATGGTCGAAATCCCGTACTTTCCGGAAACTCCGAGGGATCCGCATCGCAAGGCTCCGAACAAAAAGGGCGGCTATCGGCGGATAAGCGTTCCCTTTCAGGCTCGCATTTAGATTCCTAGTTTGGCGTCGAGCTGAAGTACGCGTGGGTCGACGAGGCGCCGGAGATTGAGACTGCGGGCGGCGTGGAGTGCGGGCCGATTGTGTGCTGGGTGATGCGGGAGCTAGTGCATCGGATTCTAAGGTTTGGCGAGCATGAGATTGCGGCCGGGTTTGAGTATGCGGGCGCGTTTGATGCGAGAGTGGAGCGGAAGATGTTGGCAAGGATAGTGAGGGTAGATTAGTGGATGACGGTTTTGGTTGCGGAGGGGCTGGGGATTGCGGCGGAGGGTAGTAGGGGTGAGGATGTGCAAGGAGGAGAGGATGGCAATGAGGAGGAGATGAGTGCGTGGAATGGGTATGCGGATTTAGTGTATTCGGAGCTTAGGGGTAGAGGAGCGAGAAATCTAGTGACTACTCTGGCGACTAGACGTACGCGCTCTGTGTAATACTAAGGGAGGGGAGTTTTAGGGGAAAGACGGCGTAGATGATATGGTTATTTGGGTGGCTGGCGGTAATGCGATATCTGTGTAATAGTTCGTCTAATGTAGGAGAGATATAGCATGTACTACTTTGCCTTCCCGACCTACACGTTCTTCCGCTGATGAAAGAGTTGGCCGCCTTCTTTTACTCCGGGATCTCAGCTCGGGGCGCTAGCACTCGCTTTGCTTAGGATGTTAATTAAACCTTTAGATCCGTTAGAACTAATAATAGTGGGGAATCTTTGTACGAACGAGCCTGCGCCCCTAACACTACCTTGCCATGCTAACTATCTCCCCGCCGCTTTCGCTCCTCCGTTAGCTCCTGCTCTATCTTATATTTAGGATTACTCTACAACGCAGAGTGCAACCTACCGTGGCCTTGCGGTTGCGGAACGCACTTCGGAGCAGCGTGAGCTCGCTAGTCCCCCTAGGGTTCTTTGAGCTTCGGCATCCTAGAGCGTTTTTCAATTCCAAGTATCTTCGGTGATGGCCTTGGTGATGGTCGTGGTGACAGTTGTGGTGGATATGAAATTAGGTAGGTCTGGCTAAATGAAAGGCATGATCGCTAAGGTTTCATATGTAAGAGTGTGCAGAAACGCCTCCTTATTCAGGCGCGGTGTGGAAGAGCCGTATGGGCAGCGTCGAGCAAGGGAAAGTTTGCTGTGTCTTTACATACCAGAAACGTCGCCTGGATTTAATAACGGTACAAACGAGAACTATGGTTCTTGAGATTTAAGCAAGAATTCGGTGTAACAATAGCGCTTAAAATGCGTAATAACGCCTAGATATGTAATCTTCTCGTAAACTTGTACTATAGCTCGCCTTCTCTAATCTACACCTTGCGTAGACCTCGCCGAAATCTTATCCCTACGCTCTATACCTACACCTCCTCTTTATTCTCTTAACTAATTTATTTCGTATACACTACTTACACTAACACTAGAAACCCTACCGCTACCTACTTTAGCACGCACTAGACTAGCACCGCAACGTTATAAACTACGCCGCACACATGCTTGTATAGAGACTGCAGGACCTCGAACGTATTCTGTCTACCCCTCTGATTCGCAGGCTGCATGTACAGATGCGGAGGTATAGAAGGAGGACGGGAAGATGCGTCGGGCGGCATGGGTTCTAAGTCCTTCGCGATTCTAAACTGCGAGCCGGAGTGTGCGTAGAAGTAGGATGCTGCGCGGTTGTAGACGTAGATCCTGTCTACGGCGACGGGGTAGGTAGTATAGACTAGAACTAGAGGCGCTAGATAGTACTAGAGTTAGATTTCGAGGCTAGAAGCTTAGACGTCGCCGTTGTCGCTGTCTTCGCTGTTGTATTTAGAAGATTTATAAGAACGGGCTTGTAGCTGCTAGCCGTAAGGCTAATAGTGCGCGGTATAGAAACTAGAGGTTTCGTGTTTTGTTTGTATAAGGCGGCGGCGGTAACAACTAGTAGGGACAAAGCAAGAGAGCATAGTTGTTTTTAGAGTAAGAGTTATATAGCAGAGTAGTTAGTTATAGGTAGACGTATAGAAATTTATTAATAAGAGATTAGACGACTGTATATAACGTACTTTACTACTAAACGCCTTATAATTTCTTAGCAAGGAAAATTAACGAAAATTAACAGGTTTTTCTTAAATAACTAAGTAAAACCTTAAAATTTTTCTATAAAAATTTATATATATATTCTTTATAGTATATTACACCTTATATTAAGGTTATACTAAGATATATTATATAATTAAAAAGCTATACGTATTTAACTAACTTTTAAGAAAAATCTAGTTTTCTTCTAGTAAGTACTATTATATCTCTATAATAATAGATAAAACTTATAGTATATAATATTTATAATCTAGTAAAGGTTTCTAGAAAACTTCTATAGAGCTAGCTTTTCTAGATATAGCGTAATAAAAGATAGAAGTTAGAAAAAGTCTTTATAGAGTTTTCTAATCTAACTATATATATATATATAAATAATCTAGCAATATAAAGTTATATATTATAAGATTATATATATTATAAGTCTTCTATATATTTAGAAGTAATAATTTTAAGATTATTTTAGTATATTTCTATCTTTATATACTATACTATAAAAAGGCTTTACTTTTAAATAACTACTTAAAGCTAGTATATTATTAGTTAATAAGCTCTATATAGTTAAAGCCTACTATAATTTATAAAATAATAAGTTTATATAGCTAGATTAACTATATATATATATAGTTAGAAGAAAAAACTCTAAAGAGAATATTTTTCTAACTTCTATCTCTTATTACGCTATACCTAGAAGAGCTAGCTCTATATAAGTTTTCTAGAAACCTTTACTAGATTATTAATATTATATACTATAAGTTTTATCTATTATTATAGAGATATAATAGTACTTACTAGAAGAAAACTAGATTTTCCTTAAAAGTTAGTTAAATACGTATAGCTTTTTAATTATATAATATATCTTAGTATAACTTTACTATAAGGTGTAATATACTATAAAGAATATATATATATTTTTATAGAAAAATATTAAGGTTTCGCTTAGTTATTTAAGAAAAATAAGTTAATTTTCGTTAATTTTTATTACTAAGTATAAGAGCTAGCTTCGTAGTCTCTACTACTATACGTGCGCTCTAGAACACCTAGCTAGGTAAGTTAATTACGGGCAATACGGTCTCTATAAGCTGTAAGAATAAGAGCGATAAGTAGAGTAGGTTAGGTTAAATTTAGCTATCTAAAGGTAAGAAGTAGAGAAAAGGCTCTAAGAGGCTCTATATATAGAGGTGCTAAGCGTTAAGACGCTAGGCTAGGTTACGTAATAAGATTACGTAACCTAAGGTTATATAACCTAAGGTAAATCTCTAAACTAGACTATTATATTACCCTCTCTTATAGAGAGAGCTTATCTCTAAGCTCTAAAATAGTCTTCTAGGTCTCTCTTTTTCTAAAACTTTTACGTTATACTCTTAACTATCTCTTTTAGCTTATAGTAAGTATATTTATATTAGTTTTAAACTAGAAGCGCTTTTATAGCTACTACCTTCTCTCTAGAGAGAAAGAGGCTTATTTTTACGTTAGTAGAGTAGCTTTCTTACTAGCTCTCTTCTTAAATAATACTATAAGCTTAGTAGAGTTCTAAATTACTTAGTAGCGCCTTTATATTACTCTTACGTCTTCTACTCTTATAGGTTTTAAATTCTCTACTATCTTCTCTAGAGTCTTCTCTTTTTTATACGCCTTAATCTAAGCATCTAATTATAATAGTAGCTCTAGCTTATCTAGGTATACTATATAAAAGTCTCTTACCTTATAGAGAGCGTTAATAAAGCCTATAGTATTATACTAGGTAGAGTTAGAATTATAAGTAATCTATGCAGCGCGGTATTAAAGGCGATTTTAATAAAGATAGCTATCTAGAATTTTATATATAGGCTATTCTAGATTACTATTAACTTTAATAGATAGTTACTTAGACTCTACCTACTCTAGTAATAGCTCTAAGGCTTTTCTTAACTAATTAGTATAAAAGACGTTATATATACGTATATACGTAGGTAGCTAGAGCTAGAAGAAGTAACTCTTTATAGTATTAATTAGGTAAGAGCTATATATCTATTAATTAAGCTTTATACTAGGCTAATTTATTAAAAAGCTATAAGGTTTAATATAGATAAGATTACCTATAGTAAAATTAGATTCTTAGCGTTTTTTATTTACTTAAAGCGCCTATCTAGCTTACGCTTTTATAATATTACCTTGTATAATTTTAGTAGCTTTTTTTATAGCGTTATATTACTTCTTAGTAAAATTCTAAGCTTTTTAGTGTAAGAGATGCTTATATAGGGTAGAGGCTTTTATTATATACTTCTTCTAATTCTAGTAGTAT